ATGTTGTTTGGGCCTTAGGCCATTTGTTATTAACACCCCCAGTTTGGGGCCCAGAATGAATAACCAAGGCAAATCCCTGCTATTCGCACCCCCTGTTCGTTTCCTTTGGGTTTTTAGTTAGTTGCTTTTTTTTTCTGGATTTAGCAAACCTGGGCCTAGTGTGTTCTGCTGAACACCCCCCCCTCCTGGGCCCAACACGGTTCTGAAATGTAAATAGTTGCTTTTACCACCCCCTTTTAATTGAATTTTGTTTTAATTTTCTTCATTTGCATTTAGTTACTATAATAATTCATAATAAATCAAAAAATCATCATTTTAACATGGGATTTTTTCCTCCATTTAAATAATTGTCTCAAGAAATTTGTTGAAAAATAAAAAGTATTTTAATCATTTTTTCTATTTTTGGTGAATTTTCAAATTTAATTGCTTTTTATTTTCATTTTGTTTGTACATATTATTTGGTGAATTTTGTTTAGTCATTTAAATTCATATTTTGATTCCATTCATTTTGTACTAGCTAGATTAGAACATTAGGTTCCCTTAGAGATTTATTCCACATTTTTGTGGATTAATCTTGATTAGTTTTGATTAGAGAACATTAGGGTGTTAGTTTTAGGGTTCAAACTCAACATAGGTGCATTCTAACATTTTATTTTGGGGGTTTTTAGCATGAATTAGGTTATGGGACATATAGGGTATGTAGGGTAGATATAGAAATCCCCTTATAATAAATCTTAGAATTTTAAATACTATTTTACTATTTTTAGTATATTTTGCAAATGGAGTGTTTGTTTGGTGTTCCCACTTGGGGTTTATATTTGTTTGCTTGGGCTTTGGGCTTTTCTATGGGATGTGGGGCTTGGCTTGAGCTTGTGGATCATGAAGACATCAAAGGAGAAGATTGAAGATGATAATCCAATGTTGAAGCTTGAAGATTTTTTGGGCTTGGAGTTGATTGAAGGAATAGGAGATAATAGGAATAAATAGAGCCTTAAAATAGACTGAATTCTTTGTATAAACATGGATAACTTCATGTGCTTCCATTCCTCTCTATGACATAAAGTCCCTCTATGGTATTCACCTCCCTCCTTTGGAGGGATAAGTAGCCTTACCTTAGAGGTAGAACTTTGAGAGAAACAGTTTGTTACAATGTCAACTATTCATAGACTTCCTTTGGTTGTCAATGAACTGTTTGACATTCAATTTATTCTGATAAATCAATTTTCATCTAGGAGAGCTTGTCTTGAAGAAAGAAGCCATTGAAGATAGAGATGAAGATCAAAGATTGACAAAGATGAAGATTATTCATGTCAAAATTGTGCAGCTGTTGAAGCTAGGGTTTACTGCTATTCGGAGCTATTTGCTGTCTGATGCTGTCAACTGATTAAGATTCTGTGCTTGTCTGAGCCTGGGGATTTCTTGAAGATGGAAGCTTATTGTAGCTTGGGTCTCATTGGAGCTTGACTTTGGGGTTCATTGTGAGATTGCTGTTTATCAATTGTTGGAGTTGGGTGTTGTTCAGAGCTGCTGCTGTAGGAGCTAGGGGGGTTGTTGGAGCTGATTCTGGGGTTTCTTTTCTTTACTGTATTGTTTGTTAATTTTCCCCCTTAGGTTGAAGTGAAGCTGTTTCACTTTGCCCATTGTTTTCTATGTTCGAGGTCGAGTGGGACTCCCTTGCCTCGCTTGTACTGCTGCATTCATGCATTTTACTGCTTTACTGTATATATGTTGTTGCTTTCCCGTTTATCCCCTAGGATCTCTGTTTCTCTCTGCGCAAGAGAGAAATATGACAGACATTAGGCTCTCATCCATGCATGACAACATTAGGGTAGATTTTGATCCCCATTTTAACCCTAGGTTTTAGAGTTCTTTCTCTTCTCATCTCAAAACAATCAAAAATACAATAAAAGGTTAAACATCAATAAAAGACAGTTCTTGCGTAAAAGACTGTAAACCAATCAAAGAGTCATTTTTGTCCGCTTGGACCCGTAATCAGGAGAAAACCTTTTTCAAAAGGATAAAAACAATCAAGACAAACTTGTGTCGTACGTGGCCCGAACTACGTTTGCTCTGATCTTTCATGCTGTGTGAAAGTACGTAGGCATAGGATGCGATATCCTAGCGAGCAACCTTCCCTTCCTTTCCCGTAGGTAGGCGAACTACGTTGACTCTGATTTCTCGTTCCAGACGGGAATACGTAGGCATAAAGTGCGATACTTTGCCGAGTCATTTTATTTTCTTTTAACCCCAGACCTGTAGAATAGATAGAATAACAATCCGTACCAGAAAACAAGCGTGGATCCCGTCGAGTACGACGCACGTGAGGGGTGCTAATACCTTCCCCTTGCGTAACCGACTCCCGAATCCAGGATTTGGTTGTGATGACCATTCCTTTCTCGTCTTTGCGGTAGGTTTACTTCGAGCGTTTCCTTTCCCTCTGTTGGGATAAATAACGCACGGTGGCGACTCTTCTGTCCAGCCGGCGCCGATTTTCGCAGTAGCGACAAACGGCAAGTCGAGAAGAGTGGTTGTGGCACTACCGCCTTATACATCTCAATTTTCGTGATCTTGACGCGTTACAAAGGGATGGTATGGTGGCCGGGATGCCAAGAATCAACATTTCAACTGAGATATGTGAAGAGTGTGTATAAGGAAAGATGCACAAGAGTCATTTCAACAAGGATGCAGGTCATAGGATCAAGTATCATCTTGAGGTGGTGTATCTCGATGTGTGTGGTCTGGGTTTTGGCGTAACCGGTTACAGAGTGTTAAAATGGCCTAGGTGTGCAAATATCAGGCTCGTAATTGACTACGGGATTTAGCGTAATCGGTTACAGATGCGTCTTTCTATTTTTTCAGTTTTCTGTTTGTATCAACTTATTTGATTAAGCTGTTTTTGTTGTATCCAATCGTTTGTGTGTACTTGCCATATAAAAGGTCTTGTAAGCTTCCATATTATGATTAATAACAATTATTTTTCTCATCTTCAATTGCGCGCTTCTCTCAATTTTCATTTTCTCCTAATTATAATTTGTGTATGTTATAACAATGTTAAGACATGTAAATAAATACATATGATAGTTATACACAAGGAAAAGACCATATGTTTCTAGCTATTTCCTTTGTTGTTTTCTCAATGTATCTTAATACAAAAATCTTGTAGGGTAGAATAGAAATAATAATCTCTTCACACACGCACAAGGGACCAAAGATAATTCGGTGAATGAACCATTATAATTTTGTATATTCAAGTAATTCTAACTCTCGAATCTTTTTGACTAGTACTTGATGTATTCATGTTGCAATTAGCATTAGTGATTGTATCTATAGTATTTACAAACTTCATCAAGATCCACTAAAGATCATCTTACCCGAAAAGTTAACGACTAAGTTGATAGATACTATACAATAATAGTAATATAATACGATTAAATAAAGTATTTATATATTACACTAAAAGTGTTTTACTTTCTTCCTCTCTAAATTAATTCTTGTAGCAAATATTTAAAAATTATTTAGTTGTAGTTGATAAGATTTGTCCGCGTTAATCTCACCATCTTCACTTTTGTGATCAAGGAAAGCCGGATTTATATTATAAAAAATGTCAATGAAAATGAAAACTCAGAAAAGAAAATATATGATTATTGTATTGTTGTTCTGTTTTCCTTGGACAAGTTAAAGAATAACACGTATCCTTTTGTGATAGTATCATGTAGGACCTTGGCTATTATTGTGAGGTACTTGGCACCACCTAAAGGAGTTTGCTTCATGGACTTGAATCTTCTTTTTTCAATTTTTAGGGACTTTATCATCTTTAATTTACTTTCATTATCAACTATCTTTCATTTTTCTTTTTGGTTTATATAAATTAATGTATAAAACCACTTCAATGATGTTGATAATATTTGGCAAAGGTTAGGGAAATATAAACATCTTGCAAACCTAGACCAAGAAAACAATCAAGGTCTGAAGAAATATATTTTTTTCTTATTTCTAAAAATATATTTTATAAAACTGTTTTTAAAATATTACGAGTTATATATATATATATATATATATATATATATATATATATATATATATATATATATATATATATATATATATATATATATATATATATATATATATATATATATATATATATATATATATATATATATATATATATATATATATATATATATATATATATATATATATATATATATATATATATATATATATATATATATATATATATATATATATATATATATATATATATATATATATATATATATATATATATATATATATATATATATATATATATATATATATATATATATATATATATATATATATATATATATATATATATATATATATATATATATATATATATATATATATATATTTAAATTAAAATATTAATTTTGATATTTTATAACATAAATATATTTTATTGAAGATCAAAACATAATTGAAATCATAATATTTTTAAAATATTAAATTTCAAAAATAATTTTTATGAAAAATTATTTAAAATAGTTCAAAAATTAAGTAACTTTTTTTTTTAATTTTGATATTAATTTTTTTTTTATAAGCAAAAATTGTATTAAATAGAAATAGAGATTAAGGGGATCTCTACCCCAACAATACAACTATATTCAAATCCTTCAAAACCACCCTAACTATCCTACAAAAAGTTTAATGGGCACTTTGTCCAATTATACAAACTACACTTCTCTTGATAGTTCGACACAATAGGTAACAACCTCCAAGACAATATAAGAATAGATTGAAATATACATTCAACGTTACAAATTTCATTGTTAAACAGAATGTTATCCTACTCTTCCAAATGCACCAATATGTTACGAACCATATTGAATTTACAACTTCTAATTTACACCTACCAATCAACCTTAAGAACCATACCATGCTTTGGTCCCAACTTGTTGTTTCATATATCCAAGCCAAACCAATCCAGTTAAACACTCTCAGCTAAACCAATCTTAATTTAGGACAAATGAAAAAGGACGTGAAATGTCCTCTAGGTCATTAAAGCATAAAACACAAACTTTTTCATGCCGAATAACTATTATTCCTCGATCAACAAGATTCTTGCGTGTCGACAATCTGTTTAGAAATATACGCCACACAAAAATCTTAATTTTCAAAGGAATGCAAGTCTTCCAAAGGATCTCCAAAGCAGTAAGAACAGGTGGATCCAACATTGAGTAATTTCCAGCATCATTAATATGATCGTAGTACGACTTAACTGGGTAATGTTTATTGTTCTCAAGTTGCCATAACCATCTATCAACAATGTCAATATTAGGTTGTACTGAGATTAACAGGTTCTCTAGCTCCTGCAGTTTTGAATATACTTCACCATGAGCTTCTAGATGTAAGCTCCTTACTAACCACTTCCACACACCATCTTCTCATACCCTCATTTCATTCACTGACCAAAGCTTCGTTGTCGAGAATTCAAATAGACTTGGGAACAACAAACATAAATTAACATTTCCAAGTATAACCGACAACATATTCTTGAAGCAACTACCATTATCTACATCACAAACTGATATCAGATCACACATCCATAAGGAATCGAAAACATCATTACCATTAACATCATCACTCAAAAATCGTTTTGCCAAATTTCCATATCTGAACTCAAGTATGTTCCTCCACAATTCATTACCCTCTTGAAGAAATTTCCATAGCCACTTCGATAACAATGACACATTGAATTGTCCAACATGTTTGATTCCCAATCCATCACACTTATTGTCTTTACACAAATAATTCCAGCTAACCCATGCAATACCACGTTTACCCAAGGATCCGAACCAAAGGAATTGCCTTTGGATGGCAATGATTTCCTTCACAACCTGCCTTGACATAGATGCAGTATCAAAGAATTCAAGAACAATATTAGTTACATCAAAACCTACAATTTTCCAATAATTTTTTAAGAGTTTAAAGTTATAACCATCCACACGTGGGCATTTATTGCTGTCACATTCACATATTGTTTCAAAAACATATTCTTTTATGAACTCTGCATCTAGCATTTCCTTATCTGCAGTATTAAGTTTAGCCACATCTCCCAAGTTCATTTTGGGCCTCTTCATATGCAAACTCGAAATTTCTCCTTAAAGTATTACACTGCAGATTCCTTAATCTTTATAGGATCTTCCAACACCATATCGCCCCATTTGACAGTTGATATCGAATTGTTTCTAATGCGCGACCTTAAAGATGCATGAAAAAATCTGGTATTTATGTCACCTTTCAGGTCTACTTAACCCTTGATTTCTGATGTATCATGCTCTCCTTAATTCTAGGATTGCGCCAAACCTCCTCTTGGGCTGATAGACAATCAGTTTCCATATCTTCATGCTGACTATCATCAATATCAAACAACTGTTTCTCAATTTCGTTTAATCTGCCAACCCCTTCTTCAATTTTAAGGTCAACCCATCCAAACACATTATGATTCCACCATTTTAATCTCTCTTTTAGGCCTTTGAATTTCACATGTAAAGTATGTCCAGTTGAACCCAACGTTTGAATGGATGACCAAGAATCCTTCACAAACCTTAGGAAATCCTTATGCTCCACCCAACAATTGAAGAATCTAAAGGATTTAGGACCCAACTTCAACTTGTTAGATTTTAATCAGACAGGTCAGTGATCAGATATTTCTTTATCTCAAATATTTTATGCCTTTAATAAAATAATAAAATAATATTTAAAAAATAACTATTTAAACTAAATTTTTATTTGAAGTTTTTATAAAAGTTTCTTTATAAATTTTTTTACACAAAATTATATTACATTATAAAAAATATTTTTTAAAAAAATCAAAACAAACTGACTCAAAATAAAAAAGCTTTAATATTTTAGACATTTTTTATTTTATCTTTCAATGGCCATCCAAAATTTCATTTTAACCCCCATCAAACATCATCTTAAAACACTTTTTCACATAATTTTCCTTCCAATATGACTAGATATACTTAATAGTTTATTCCTTTTTCTCAAATTCACATTTCACATTTTCAAAAATACTAAATTTTTTTTCTAACTATCTAATTATTTATTTATTTATATTTTTGATAGAATTTAACATTACTATATTTTGTGGCGAATCTCGTTTATATATATATATATATATATATATATATATATATATATATATATATATATATATATATATATATATATATATATATATATATATATATATATATATATATATATATATATATATATATATATATATATATATATATAATATAATATAATATATATATATATATAAAAGAAAGTTTAGGTGAGTTGAAATTTGGGGCTCACTAGGGCTAGGGCTTAAGGGTCTTTGATTGGGTTGATTAGATGTTCAATTGGTTAAGTCTCAATTAATCTCAAATTCACTCCATTTGATCCAAGGTATAAAATTAGTCCAAACACAAAAAGTAAAGTACACATTCTGATATTTACTTTTCACCATATTCATCTTGAACTTCGAACTGAATGCGTTGGAGTTCTAACCATGCATGTTCATCCCGCGTTGTCATATCAAAGATCAACACCACTTCTTCAAGAGATTCAATTCACCACCTACACCCATTTTTAGTTCTTGAACATAACAGTTGCGTCGTCTGTCAGAACTGATATCTGATTCTTAAGATTTTCACGATCACAGATCTGGCTTCAGATCTGTCTGTTCATAACCTCCTTAGGTCACCAAACTAAGAACATTTAGAATTAAACATAGGGATCTGTCACATTCGTTCCGGGCGGTTAGCGTTTCAGTAGTGATTCACCAGATCTCTGATTTCCCTCGAGAACTCCGCAAAGGAGAAGAAGAAAGGATCCTAGATCCATATCCAGATCTATATTAAAAGCGCCAGAAAGTGAGTGAGATTTCCTCAAAGATCTTACAGAAGATTCATGGTCCATATTTTGATCTAACATCGCTGCCATCTACCATCGGAAATGCGATACTTACTGAGGTGATGCTGAAGATATGACAAGTTCATAGTTAATGACCGACGCAGAGCTGACACTATAGTTCCTACCAAAGGCATTAAAGGATCTTCGGTCGGTCTTATGCCAAGTATGAGGAGCTAAGATGGAGCAAGCCGACAATACTACATCTTTTCTTTATTACTGGGAAAGTAATTGATTCCAATGACGACTTAGGTTCCCTAACACCGTACATCATGAAATAGGGACATCTGGGCGCAAAGTCGATTAAAGAACAAAAGCGATAAATAAGCTGATGCCCCGGACTACCCAGTAAGAGCAACGATTCCCCCTAAGACGAGAGTCCGTGAGAGGTAGCTTAAAAATTACTCCATACTATGGCAATAAGGGAAAAAGTCTTTTTCAAATGTACTTCTGGTCAACAATCATCTTCGACCCTTTTCCTGACATTGATGGTCCTCAACAAGATCACTAGAAGAAAACAACATGTTGTGCCCCTTTCGTAAAGGTTGAAGACATGCCTCACGATGAGCTTCACCTTCGCCCAACCATGTCCTAGGCTCCAAGAAGTCGAGTTGAAATTCCAGAAAGAAAGCTAAAACAATGTTGTACCTGAAGGTTTACTTATCTAGTTATTATGTTATCTCATTGCAATAACTCGACTTCATTATAAATGAAAATACTAGTCTATTATTTTTCCCTGTTGCACTCTTTTTATGATTGCCTCTCTTTAGGACCCTAAAACTTTGATGATCAAATTAATATATAAAACCACTTCAATGATATTGATATTTAACAAAAGTTAGGGAAATATAAACATCATGCAAAGCTTGATACCTAAATCAAGAAAACAATCAGGGTCTACTTGTTTCACCTTAAGTTTTTTATTATTTTTAAAAATAGATTTTATAAAACTATTTTTGAAATATTACAAGTTTTTTTTTTTAAAAACTAAAAGATTAATTTTGACATTTTATAACATAAACATACATTAGAAGATCAAAACATAATTGAAATCATAATTTTTCAAAAAAATTGAATCTCAAAAATGATTTTTATGAAAAACTATTTGAAATAGCTCAAAAATTAAGTAAGTTTTTTTTTTGAAATTTTAATATTTAAATTATTTTTAATAAAATAATAAAATAACTTTTGAAGAATAAATATTTAAACTAAATTTTTATTTGAATTTTTTATAAAAGTTTCTTTATAAATTTGCTTACACAAATTATATTACATTATAAAATTTTAAAAAAAATCAAAACTAACTAACTCAAAATATAAAAGCTTTAATATTTTAGAATTTTTTTTATTTTATCTTCCAATGGCCATCCTGTTAGTTGGCAAATTTTGACCACGAAAGATAAGTGTAATACCCCAAATTTTACCCTTACATTTAGTCAGGCATTTCGCATATCATCTACTATGAACATTTGCTAAACCACTAACAAGTCATGGAGGTGTCTGTTTTGCAGATTTGGTCCCAGGGGTATTTTGGTCATTCTTTGAAAACAGGCTGTTATTACGTTCTGAGGCATTACGTTCTGAGGCATTTATTTGCCAATTGGGTCAAGGTGCCGGTATGTTTTGTCAGAAATATGATTGGACTCGGGACCGTGTCTTATATGATGTTGAAACATTTCTAAAGCAGTTTTGTTTCCTCTTAATAAGATGGAAGTTGGTTTGAAAAAGAAGTAGGCACTGTTATGGTTATTTTGAGAAGTGATGTGATCAGCAAGATTTTAATTTGAACTTGTTTGGATATAACTATATGGCGGGATATCATTTATAAAGGCAAAAGAGAAGTAAGTTTGAACTTTGTGTTCATAAGTACTTATAAGCTACAACTCAAGAAGGAATTTAGTATTCATGGATAATTTGAATTTACAAGTGAGAAAGTAAATATGAATATTTGTTGAATTTCATTTCATAAATATTTATAATTTACAAATTGATAAGTGAATTTGAACTGTTTCACAAGAAATTACATTAAGTCAATAAGCATCTATCCTAAATCCTAAAAGTTCCTAAGGGTCTTCATGCTGTCTTTAAGTTTCGCCGCAAATCTCGACTAACCTGCACATCAAAAAGAAAACAAACAATGTAGAAAAAATGTTAGAAGTTTCTTGACACTCTCAGAACAATGTCATCATCGAGTGCCGGGAGTGGCACAACCGAAGCTGCGTCCTACCCCCGTTACCGATCCGCGCCGTGGGCGTCAGATCAGGTAATGCTTGTTCTTATCGATACGAGACATCCGAGAGATAGAAAAAATAAAAGAAGTGGGGCTGATTCGTTTTGCCGTGATTGGATTTCCAAACTGATACGAGAATAAGGCAACATGGGCAAGTTTGGACTCAGACCCGGATGCCGGCAGGTCTGAGTCGCTATGGTTCCGAAGTTTCCAACACCTGAAAAGCCACAAACGCATCAATGTCAGATCCAGAATTTGGAACTCAAAGCCTAAATAGTTCATGAGCAGCATCAGTTCTGAACCATGTACAGAAGAATGAGACACACAACAAGCTGCGGCAAAATAACATAGGACAAGGTCTCAAAAGATTCAGCAACCCCAATTTCATAACAGAGTTTAAAACAGTTCAGCTCAAGAAATAGGCAACAAAACCGTAGAACCAATATCAACTACAGCAAGCAAAGAGAAGCAACACGAGTTACAACCTGCAATAACAGGGTAGTATCAGCTGTAAGCATCACAGTGCAACAACAACAAGTTTTTCACATCAACAATATCAGCTACGAGCAAGCATCATTCGCAAGCACCAACATTGCAACAATAGCCTCTAACAAACGGTTCAGATTCACGAATCGTCATCACCGTTTCAAGTTCCCCCCGACAATAGCAATTTCTGAGCCACAAACAATAGCAGCAACAGATATCAGTTGCAAACAACGCCGACTGCAACACAGCGAGCAACACCAGTTCAACATCTGCAGGTATCAATTGCAAGCAAAACAAGTCGACTAGCATCTGCAAACAATTTCAAGAGCAACCATTAGTAACACCAACAGCGGTACAATCAATATCAGTCACAAACAGGTAGCAAGCGAGGCGAGCTACGAACACGACAACCCTTATCAGAAGAATTGAGTTCGAGCAAATCAGAGAAGCATGATTCAG